CCCACCTGACACAGCACCCCAGGCACTCCCACAGCCACCTGCTCCTCCGAGGATGAGATTGGGCCCCAAGTGTGTCCACCCTGAGGGGAAATGAGAGGCCGAGGCCGCCTCTTGGGACTGCACACAGGCCTGGGCTGGGCCTGACCGCGAGTGCATCCTGTCCCCCCAGGGGCTCCAGCGCCGTCTCTCGTGTCCTTCTCCGTGGGGCTCACCCGGAAGCCCTTCCCCAGCGACGCCGGCGTGGTCCTGTTCAACAAGGTGCTGGTGAATGACGGGGACGTGTACGACCCCAGCACCGGTGAGTCTGCCCGCGCTTAGCTGCTTCGGAGGGCCTCCCGGCCGGAGGTGAAAAAGAAGGCCCTCCCGCTGCCCCTTTCTGAGCCAGAACCCGCTTACCCTGCCAGGACAGGTCTGCATGAGCCCCAGCCCTCAAATGGGAGGCCAGCCTTGAGCCGGGGCTGCTGCCCCTGGGGTGTCTCAACTGCAAGAGGAGAGACAGGGCCCCTTGGTCCCCGCTGTTCTCCCGCCCACGGGCGCCAGCAGACGGGGCGGTCACAGGTCACATGCGTGCGGTAGCCGGGGCTCTGTGCGGCCCCTGGGGGGAAGCAGCTGGTTCTGGGCAGAGGTGGAAGCTGCCACCCAGGCCCCGGGTTTTAGCATCAGAGCTGCTTTGCTGTGTGCTCATGGCCAGCTTTCTGGGCACCCTTGCTCCCCCCGGCCCAGATGCCCAGAACCAGAGTCTGGGCCGTGGGTCACAGTAAGTGGGTTCCGGTGACACTGAGCAGAGACACAGACCGTGTGCCCAGAGCACAGGGCCTGATCTGTCCCTGAGGCCCTATGGTACGATTAAGAGCTCAGTGACCTGGCCGTCACAGGGCAGGTCGAAGACTCAGGCCCCCTCCCCAGAGCCCTCGGAGGTGGCCACTCCCGCCAGCATGGGGTCTGGGCTCTCCGCAGCTCATCCCCCAACAGTAGGCCTGCCTCTGGCGGGGAGGGGGTGAGCTGTCTGCCATCACCCAGGCTGAGTGCCTGCTCGGCGCACAGGCCGTGATGGGTACCCAGCACTCAGGTCCCCCTTCCTCCCCGCAGGGGTCTTCACGGCTCCCTATGACGGGCGCTACCTGATCACAGCCACCCTCACGCCCGAGAGGGACGCGTATGTGGAGGCCGTCCTGTCGGTGGCCAATGCCAGCGTGGCCCAGCTACACACGGCCGGCTACCGGAGAGAGTTCCTGGAGTACCACCGGCCGCAGGGGGCCCCGCACACCTGTGGGGGCCCGGGCGCCTTCCACCTCATCGTGCACCTCAAGGCAGGGGATGGCGTCAACATCGTGGTCACGGGGGGCCGGCTGGCCCACACGGACTTTGACGAGATGTACTCCACCTTCAGCGGGGTCTTCCTGTACCCTTTTCTTTCCCACCTCTGAAGCAGCCGGGAAGCGGGAAGGAGCTGAGAGCTCGGAAGCTGTAATATATTCAGTGTGTGTGTAGCCGGGGCGCGGGGCAAGCTCTCTGCAGACACCCCGCCCCTCCCCCAAGACAGAGGTGGCCGGCGGCGGGGGGAACCACGGGTGAATGTGGCCACCGCTCCCGTCACTCCGACTGGACAGCCGGACCAGAGTCGGAGGCGCCCCGCCTGCCTCCGGCTGGGCTTACCAGGTGCTGACCGCGGAGGCTCCGACTGCTGCCCGATGGACCACGTCCTCTCCTCCGGATGGACGATGAGGAGGAGGAGCTGCTGAGAGGAGGCAGGCAGCAGAAACTGGTACCCGCCGCGTCTGTCTTCACTGGAGCAGAGCCAGCGCCGGCCGGCGGGAGGAGAGTTGAAACACTGAAGTGGCACAGGCCACCACAGACCCAGGGTGGACAGTGGGCTGTCCCAGGCTTGGCTCGCCATCCCCTCCCCACCCCCGCCCCCGTGCCGCGTTTGCCTGGCTGAGAGGATGATGCAGGAGAGACTGTTGTGTGGCTTGTTGGGGCTCCTTGAATGACATGTACGACCCAAGTGCAAAGACAGGGAGTGGCAATAAAAACATAAAACACTTCCAGTGTAAGGCTGGTGCCTTGTGGATTGAGGGTTGCTGCTAAAAAGCACAACTGGAGTAAGCGAGTTTAACGGCTGTAGGAAGGAAGCTTGAATACATGGATCTCAACTGTGCAACCGGCATCCCTCAGCATTAAGGCTGTGCACCTCGGGGTTGTAGGCGGCTTATAAAGACAGACCGGATGTGCCTGGAGGTCAGAGCCCCCCACGGCAGAAAGTGGGGGGCTCCTCCAGGGAAGGCTGAACGTCGCACTTAAGCAGCAGGTGTCCAAGCTAACATGACTGCTTGCCGCCCAGCTCTAAGAGACCTCGTGCTCCCAGGGAACCAGAAGCTGATCACACCGAGGCCATCTGGGAAGGGCAGGAACCTTCCCAGGGAGCCCGGGCCCCCACTCCTCTGCCAGCAGCCACACCAGCCCCCTTAGCTTCACATGGTTTTCACTGGTCTGGCAGGCAAAACCTGCTGGCCAACAGAGTGCCACTGCAGGAGGCAGGTCCTAGGGAGAGACGTGACCATAGAAACAAGTCTCCCGGCCTAAAATCAAGCCACCAGGTTGCTCTTATGCTATAAAAATGCCCTTTCCAGGACTGCAAGTGAGATCACAGTGTGGCCACTGGGTCCTTGAGATGGGGGGAGACTTCCTCCTCACCCCTTCCCCCCAGCTAGGGGCAGAGGGGCCCAGGACAGGCCTGCTGTTTTCACGTTTTAAAGTTCAGGACTCTACATCCGGGGCTCAGGGGTGGGGTGCATGCTCACACTGTTTCTACAGCTGGGGAACTGGCTGTCAGCAGCTGTGGCTTCCTAGATATGACTCATGGGAAAAACCCCACGGCTGTGGAGTGTTTTCAGGAAACCCCAGTTGGCACATGGGTCTGCCCTCTCCCCTCACACCCCCTTCAGAGGCCTTACCCGGGGCCAAGCAGGACAAACGCTCAATGGGAACCAGACGGAGGGCGGAGACTGACCTGCCTCGCTCCACGGATGGTGCTAGAGTGGCGAGTGTGGTGTCCTCCTCGGCGGGGCCTTATGACCTGTCTACTGAAGTGGTGAGTTTCAGCCCTGTGCCCATGACACGCAGTGTAGACAGCTCACAGCAGGTCCTGCACTGACTTGAGGAGGAGGAAAGAGGTTCACCAGGAGTCAGCGTCTTGAGAAGGGAGCGGCTGTCCTCTTATACGGAGAGGAGCAGGCTGGGCTGAACTCAGGCTGAGTGGCTTGGAACAGCTCTCTCTGAAAGTCAGTTGCCCGGCACTGAGAGCCTGGGAGAAAGACGTGTGGACCAAGGCCCTGGACTCAATCAGGCACGAGGTTACGACTTCTGAAATGATGGGGTTGCTGAGAAAAAGGTCAGGGTGCACCTTGAGATAAGCAGTGACGGGACTGGGATGTGTCAGTCCTGTCAGCAAACAGCTCCATTTAAATGATGAGAAACAAAACCAGCAATAAAGACTGAAAATCGGCGCGGAATGCAATGTGAAGTTACTCCCACGTTAGCACATTCGTCTTTCTCAGCGAGCCCGTTCTCTTTTGAACTGTTTTTCACACTGTGCAGTTTGAAAGGGAAGTATAGTTGTGATCAGACACACGCTTGTAGCTGCACACGCAGACTCACTTCTCACACCCGCTTGCCTCGCCCGTCTCGGCCACCAGCCAGCGGGGAGGGCAGCACACCGGAGGGGGTTTTTTCCTGATGTCAACCTGTCTGAGCGCTTCCCTCCTTTGCTGGAAGGGCACTCCCCAGCACCGCAGCCCCCACTCCCCGCCCAGCCATTCCATCATGAAAACAAGCAGAGAAGGTGGGTGCTATCCCCACATGGAGGCGCGTGCTTGAGGGAGTTGGTGGGTTCAGCGTGGGCTCAGCCACCAGAAGGGATTAAATAATACATGGGGTGTGGTTTTTGGCTCAGATCACTCTGAGCCTCCTGACAGCTGATGAAAACATCAGGAGGGCTACGTGCTATTCACCCAGAGGAAGGGCTTTAATGCCAAGGCGGGGCGGCCAGCACCCTGAGCAGGGCTGAGGGGTGGGGGGGGGGGTGCAGTCTGGAGGACACCAGGGGGTGACCCCCAGAAATTACATAGACATGACTGGATGGCTCCCTGGCAGAACCTACAAAGCAAGGGAGATTAGTTCCTGCGGGTGGAGCCTCACTTCTAGAGTTAGGTTTTATAAAAACAAGCACCAAAAAGAAGCCCTTTCTATACACAAGCTTAAGTGTCAGTAGAGATCGAAATGCTAATTTATGGAAATTAGCAACTTCTGGCAAAAGTTTAGAGAAGACAATTTAAATGTCCCCTGAAGGAAAAAGTCAAGACGCGTTGAGTTCACATTTGTTTATTGTTGTAACATTTTGTTTTGAACATCAAACACTGCACCAAAATATGAGCCATTTATCTTCAGACAGTTATCTTTGCCATAAAGTACTGATGTTGACAATTTCTGACAACTCAAGAAACGTATTAGTGGCACTGCTGTGTCTAATAATCAAATGTCATCATAGACCGAATGTAATGATTAAAATAAAAGAGCAACATTTCCCCTTCCTCTTCCTACCTTTAAAACAAACCCCAAAAAGTAGTTTTCACCTGGAAAGAGCACTTACTTTAAACCAAAACTCAAATTTTTCACCGGTTTCATTATACCCAGCATTCTCTAAAGCGGGAAAACAAGGCTTCCCAGAGTTAACTATTGATGATACTCGAAAAGATGACAAAATCCCCTGGGAGAGTCTGTTTTCAGCAACCTGCAGACAACTCAGGTCCGCTCTTGGCCTGTTCCTTTGGGTCTGACCGGCACCTCTGAGGACACCCTCCATCTGCAGGGCCATGTGTAGTCGGGGGTACGAACACTTCTGGCTCCGGTGGGTGGCTGTCACTCCTGGATTGTCAGCAGCTTTTATCTCCCATCATGCTAGGAAGTTTTTTCCTTTTTCCAGCTGAGAACTAGGCAATGTCTTACAGCACAGCAGATGTGGTCCTCACATGCAGGGCTAAGCCTGCCCGCTCTGGGCCCTCGAGCATGCGTCCTGAGCCCCGCAGAGACGCAGATGTGGACACCACAGCCACACGAGCTTCCGCGCACGGACACCAAGGCAGCTGTACAGTTGGGTGGGATGCAGTCGGGAGGGACGGAAAGAGGGAAGGGGCCACGGCCATTCCACTGGCGGAGAGAGTGACCCAGAGGCGGCTCCTTGAGATGTCGCCCGCCCCCGAGGGCAGCGAGCGGCCACTGCTCCTCCTCAGCTCTCCTCCTGAGGTCTGTGTACAAACACACCGAGGGCATCTCTCTTTCACAGAAAGAACAAATGTCATTTGTACCAAATGGCAATGGATTTTCAGCACAAACAATACTTTTGTGACACTCGAGCGACAGTCGTCATCTACGTTCAGCAAGAGGGGCTCCTTTAAATGAGGAGGAACACTCAGGTTGATCAGCACGTGCACCCAGCGGACCGGTGACACCCGCCGATCAATGTCAGGGACAGGGTGACACACTCTAGCGCTGACGGACAGCGGGCGGAGGGGTCGGCCACCCCAGTGCGGGTTCCCAGTCGTGGCCCTCTAAGATGCCCCCGTCCCGAGAGGAGAGCTCACCACGGAGGAGAAGCTGTCTCATGAGAGACTCTTTAAAGGACAGGAAGGCATGTGTCAAGCTTCTCCGTACCGCACACGCGCACACAAGCCTGTGCGGCTCCAGGGAAGGGCCTGCACCCAGCACGGGGCCAGGCCGCCCCCAGCAGCCATGAGATGAGGGAATCACGGGCAGAACCCCACACGGCAAACACAGCCCAGCTTCCTGACCTGCTGTCCGTGAATAGGTCTTTAAACAATGCATCCTTGAACCGTCTGCGGTGGGAGGGTTTGCCCTGGGGGAAGCAGGTCTGGTTTCTCTGGGAACACGGCTTCCGGGCTCTGCCTCCAACATGGCTCAGTGGAGTCCGGGACCTTCAACCCTCCACTCTGGAGAGCAGCCACCCCCACTTCTCCAGCTCAAGATGAACAGTACCATGGTGGAGCAAACTGAAGAGAGGAGTGCCCCCAAAACCAGCAGGGAAAGCAAGAGGCGAACCCGAAACCACGGTGGGGGGAGGGGTGAGCACCGCCCTGCAGTATTTCACTATCACCCCCCTCTCCCCCAACTCGAACCTGCTCACTGCTTTCTCACCCAACGCGGGGCTGCATGAGGTCACCACTGGTCCCGAGGGCGTCCTCTCTAACAGTTCTCTTGATTTTAAGCCCAAGGGGGCTGTCCGCACCAGCTCATCTCTGCAGGCTCGTGCTCACAGCCCTGGAGGGGCGTGTGGACGGAACCCTTCCTGAGTGGCTTGCTCAGTTGCAGGCAGGGGGAGGGGCAACAGACCGCTTCCCGGGGCCTGGCACAAGCACACGTCTGCATCTCTAGGCCTCCCTGAGAACTGAATTTCCCTGCTGGCTAACCGACTCCTGCTGCCAGGACCACTCTCACAACATCACACACATCCTGCAAGACCCGTGCCTTCCGGTGGGTCCAAGACACAACAGTTCAAGTCCCGGCCAAGGAACGTTCAGGGTGAGGAGGCGATGGTCGTTCCTTCCCCTGAAGCCCCAGGCGCCAGAGCCAGCATCCTTCTTCCATGGAGTAGGAGATGGAGGGATGAGCCCGTGGGAGAAGTGAGCAGGCGATTCATACATCATCAATAACTGGACCCTGATTCCCTACAAGCAAGCCCTCCTCTCAGAGAGAGAAACACTCTCAACTGCCCAGTGGAAATTAGAACACTTTACTTTTGTGCAACATTTGGTCCACTCTTAGCTTCTCTTTTCTTCTTCTTAAATTATGCAATTGAAGGAGCACCCGGCACGCAACTCGATACAGAGCATGTGGGAGGCCAGGCTGGTGACTGGAGCCCGGGCCTCAGGCCTGAGCCCCTTGCTGTGCCGGCCGCCGGCACCACACGGCAGCCCCGGGTCCGGGAGGGCACGGGGGGTGCGTCCGGCCCCGGCAGCTCCCCAGCCCATTCCTGCCGGCGCCTGGCGGGCAGTGCGCCATCCCACACCTGTGGCCGGGAGGGTCCCCGCATCCTCTGTCCAGCAGAAGGCCGGTCGCCTCCCCTGCTGCGGGGGCCGCAATCCAGCCCCCTGCCAGGGGTGCCGCCTCAGACCAGGTCCTCCAGGTCCACCTCGGGGATCGGCTCTCGCCAGTAGCAGAAGGAGCTGAACTCCGGGCATGGGAAGGCGGAATTCTGTTCCTTGTTGAGAAGCGGGAACACATGTTCCACGAGCTCGCTCAGCCTGTGGTACCTGGGAGTGGGGAGGACACATACTGTGACTCAGCACCGGACCTGAGAGCATGAGACGGCAGACCGTGAAGCCAGAAAGGAAGGGTCCCAGACCGGCGCCCTCCTTCCCAGGGGTCCACCTCCCTCCTCAGAGTCTAGGCTCCCCAGCCACCCCCAACAGCGGCTGCAGAGGGGGCAGAGGTGGGGGATGCCCCAGCAGAGGGGAGCATGCTCTGGCAGAAGGGGTGGAAAGAGCCTGGCAGAGTGGAGGCTTCCAAGGGCGGGCACGTCTCTGACATCTGGCCCCCGGCTGCACGGCGCCAGGGCTGAGAAGTGGGAACACACTTACGAGGACTTGTTTCCTTTGGTCCTTTCTTGTATCAGCTCGCCCTTGGGGTTCACGGTGAAGATCCTGCAGTCTGGGACACCCACTTGTCTGTAAGCATAGACGTCCTGCCGCAGGAAACAGAGCAGGGTGGTTACTGAGAAGTTCTCGGGCCCCCTGTGAGCCAGAAGCACCGCATCACAGGAAGCGGCGTATGGAGAACATGTGGAGTTGGGGCAGCCGCCACCCAGGCTGAGCTTTAGACAGACACTGCCTAAAGAGGGAGGCCAACGCACACTGTAGGGGGTGCTTGGGAAGCCAGAGAACGTGGGTGCCAAGGAGACTCCGGGCCCCAGAGTAGGAGAGGGGAAGCATTCGTGGCTGGGGGTTGGGGGAGAGGCAGTGCTCAAGCCATGGATCTGGGGGGCGGAACTAAGGCTCAGCTTAGAATTCACAGAAATGGAACCGAAGCCCCTGGTCACAGATGGGCATCCCAGGGCAGGTCTGCGCCCCAGTGCCTCCCTGCTGCGGGAGGAAACACGCAGATGAAGTGAGCACCCACCCAGCACAGCAGACCTCACTGCGCCCACATGCCTGGGGAAGACTATGACCTGCCTACACCCTAAAGCACCGTCCTGTGCATGCCTCCCACGGTGCCCGCATGTGCAGCCCGGAGCAAACACCTACATTTGGGCGGTTCCCAAAGGCAGCGTAGAAGGGCTGCTGAGCTGGGGCAAAGAGATTCTTGATGTCGGTCAGACACTCAATCTTGAACTTCTCTGGCTTCTTTTCTATTACTTCCCTAGGAGAAAGACAGAAGTATCACCACCAAATCCAAAATGGCAGTTTTCCCTGGTATGTGGTCTGAAAACCCACAACTATCCATTTTGCTAAATCCTTCGTAACTGGTATCTTTCTCCATCTCTGCCAGCCTGACTTTTCTCAGCTGTGTCTGACAGAGACCAGGTGAGCGGTGTGTGAGCTAGAGTAACATGGAACTCAGACCCAGAAGCTCTGCAATAGATAACAGTCCAGCCAGGACCCGGCCCCCATGGGTACACACGCATACACACCACACACACACACACCTGTGGAAGGCAGAAAACAGGCTGCTGGGAGACAGCATGAGGGGGCCGCGGGGCAGGATGGTGCCCTTGTCGTTGACCCAGTGCAGGTAGCCGCGGGTCATGTCGGCCATGCCGATGGCGCGGGCCGAGCAGTACAGGAACTTGTAGCCGTTCCTGGAAGAGAACGCCTCCTGTTTAGCCCGTGTGCTTCAGCTAAAGGGGCAGAAATGCATTTTCTCTTTTTAAAGGTCCCAATAAAGTTCCTCTCACCTCCCATGAAAGTCAAATTCCTAAATTTAACACAAGCATCATCAGGATTATAAAGATCTCACCACTCCATGAAAAACACCATGGAGGAGATGTGATTAGGGATTATGCTAAGGTGTCATGTAATAATATATCTACAGAAGCCAATTATAAAACAAACAAAAAACTAGGGGCTGTCTTTATTGGGACATTCTCAAACTCTGCTTAAGACACTGTAGTTCTGCAGATTGATTTAACCCGGATGTATCAGGACTCCCACAAAGGCCACAGCACTATGTTCTCGCAAAAGGTACTCGATGGAGAAAACCACCTGGCAGAATGATTCCCCTATGCACGTATCTATTACCCACTTCGAGAAATACAATTAAAAGTACTAACAAACATTGCAAATGATTAAACTACGGCTACAAACCCAAGTACAGCTGAAACTACTGACACAGGACTTGCAGCCCTGTGCAAGAACAAGGTGTAATCTGCCAGGCACACAGCTCCTGTCCCATGGGTGGTGGCTCACACTTTCCCTTGCGGGAGGCTCCAGTAAGTAGTGAGAAGGGAGAGTGAGAAAGCTGGATCACAAACAAGATTTCCTGGGACTATTTCTACAGGTCCAGCAAAATCCCAGCTCACTGGCCACAGGGTCCGGCACCTACTCGTTGATGGAATGGTAGAGCTTCGCGATACCCTGGTGCGTCCAGTCTTTGCCCAGCTGCGGAAGAATCTGTCCCAGAGCGTCAGACCTGAGAGAGTGGAAACAGGAGGAGGTGTCGGGAACCAAGCATGTAGAGCGGAGAGTTTGCCCGTTACTGAAACACCAGCTTCTGTTAACAGCAGCCGCTGGGGGCAGGGAGCGGGCCTGGGGGGTGGTGACAGCCCACAAGGCGGTTTCCTTGGTCTGTGTGTGCACAAGCCAAGGACCTCACCCAGGAGCTTCTGAGAGCACCACCAGACCCAAGGGCCAGCCCTTCACTCTCGGGGCATTTACAACCACACGGCCTCCTCTTTTCTAACTGCAACAGCTTCTATTTTTTCCTCCCCATGCCAGAATTTGGAGACCGAATAATTAAATCTTTCCAAGAGTTGTTATTATTATTATGGTCATTTGGCTGCGCCACAAGGCTTGCGGGATCCTAGCTCCCCAGCCAGGGACTGAATGAATCTGGGCCCTCACCGGTGAAAATGCTGAGTCCTAACTTGGCTGCCAGGGGAATTCCCCAGATGTTTTGCCCTTATGTTTGTATGGCCCCACCCACCTCCTCCATCCACAGAATGATTCTGTGGGGACTGCACTCAGGACCTCTCAGTGCATGTAGTTTAAAAAACCTCCTGAAGGTGGCTGGTCACTCAGGTGAGGGAGCCCCTGGCCCTCTGCACACTGCGCTGGGCCCTCCTCTCGCCACCCCAGGGCTCCCGCTTACTTGGTTATCGTCCCGTCAATGTCGGAAATGATGACCTTGTCGTTCCAGTTCCACAGGTAAATGGTCCCGGCACAGCGACAGGTGCCTTGATACTGGGTTGTGATACTAAACACGACGTCATTTGGGCCATCTTGGAGGTTCAGTTTCGCCTTTCATAAAAAGTGTAAGAATCAGCAAAATTAGAGCTTTGAAAATTAAAGGTACATCACTTTGATAGAATTACATGCTCAACAATTAAGTCACACTTTCCAAGAAAATGTGGTCAGAGAAACTGCTTAAGATACAATGTTTCAGGATGGGGGACACATGTACACCACTGGCTGGTTCATGTCATGGATGGCAAGAGCCACCACAATATTGAAAAGTAATTAGCCTCCAATTAAAATTAATTTAAAAAAGATACAAGGTTACATGAGAAACGATCCTAATCTCTAAAATATATAAAGGTGTGTGAACAGACATGGACAGAAATACATGAACAAATTAACTGTTTATTTAAAAAAAAAAAGGGGCAAGGAAAAGCAACAGAAAACAGTTTTGGAACAGAATCAACACTCTCCAGATTGCCAGTAGCATCTCAAGACCCAGCTCTA